CCCCGGTAAGCCGCCTCCGGGGCTGGGCTCCCTTCCCTCCCCTTCCACACACTGGGATCATCCCTGCCCTGAGGCCCTGCGGCGCTCGGCTCACTTCTTCTGCTCCCGCTGCTCCTTCCCCTTCGTGGTACCCCAGAATGTCAAGGAAGGTTCTCCTCCAAACCACCTCAGTTACCAAAGGAAAAGTTTGGGAGCTGGAGGATGCTGTGCCTTTCCTCCTGTGACTTTGTGCTGGTGCAGTGAAACACCGCAAGACTCGGCGCCAGCGTTCAGTGCACCTTAACCCAGGCTATACCTGATTGCCCACCCCGGCAAAACATTGGTTATTCCTGGGAATAATGTGTAGGACTTCACTGTTTGGTTTTTTCCCCTTTCCCTCGTTGTAATATCCTGAAAAACGAGCCTGAAAGTAACTCGCTAAAAGCTGGGAGGGAGAAAAGAGAGCAGTTTTGTGAGTGAGTTTTTTCAGGCAGATTTGCTATTTCCCTTTTCTCCCCAGGCTGTGAGCGGACGTTTATCACAGTGAGTGCATTATTCTCCCACAATCGAGCCCACTTCAGAGAGCAAGAGCAGTTCTCCTGCTCATTCCCTGGCTGTAACAAGCAGTATGACAAGGCCTGCCGACTGAAAATCCACATGAGGAGTCACACAGGTATTCATTCACAGGGATGATTTGTACACAGGGAATTACATAAGGCATGGTATGAGGAAAGTGGACTGCAGTGTGCTGGAAAACCTGGAAGTCAGGAAGGGTGACATTAGTTATTTGGAGTAGAGAAAGGATTTGATTCTTGGCCTTCTGGGGGTAGGATTCTGCTGAATCAAATTGTCATATGCAAAGTAGTAAAGCACATATGCAAAGCTGTGGCTTTTGTCATTGTGCATTCTGTCCAGAAAAAACTATCCCAGCTCTATTCCCAAGTTCATAGATGTTCAAAACATTGCATTAATTTTACTCTTGATACAAACAAACAGCTCAAAACATGTGAAAAACTCTCAGAACATGTGGAATGTATGTACCAAGGTTTGGAACAGCAAGAAGATAAATTTCAGCTCTGGCAAGCAAGCCTGACTTGTAAGGACCGCTGCAAAGCTGAAATACAGCCTTGTCATGTTACTGGTGTGTCCTCTCTTTTCCTGGTTTTGTGGTTTTACACTTTTGAGGTTTTTTCAAGTGTCACTTGAAGTTCATAGATGTGATGGAAACCAAATCACACTTCACAGTCTTGTGATCAAGACACAGTGGTAGACCATGAAAACAGGAAAAACAGTTCAGTTGTGTTTCTGAGTGACGCTGTTAGTGACTATTGAAGCATTTCAGGATATGAGGTGGATTGATAAATACTTGTGCTCTCTAATGTAACTCCATGGAGTTAAAGAAAGCCCAGATTGTAGGAGGGGGAAGGGATATGATAGCACTTTGCAGTGCATTGCAGGAGGGGCTGGTTGAGTTGTCTTTTCTTAAATTAATTCAACTTAAGCAGGTTTTAATATTTTCTAGTAGCAGTATGTATTTTGTATTAGATTATTAATGTAACATTTTTTATTCAAGGTGAAAGACCTTTTATCTGTGACTTCGAAGGCTGTGGCTGGTCTTTTACCAGTATGTCCAAGCTTCTGAGGCATAAAAGGTAAAGGAAGCTTTTTCTGATTATACTGTCCTAAGCCACTGGCTGTTTGCTTCTCTTTGTTTCTCTTCCAGTAGCTAAGCAGTAGTGGATTTAATCATGCCAATGACAATTTCCTTCCCTTGTAGGAAACACGAAGATGACAGGAGATTCATGTGCCCAGTAGAAGGCTGTGGGAAGTCGTTCACAAGAGCAGAACACTTGAAAGGCCACAGTATAACTCACCTTGGTACTAAACCATTTGAGTGTCCAGTAGAAGGTATTGCTCCACTCTCATATGTATTTCCTGGTAACTGGTGTGTATTTTTGTCTAAAGGCTATGTGTGCTTGGTACAGGACTGGAACAATTAAGAGTGAGTCCCATAACAGGGTTTGAAGAGGCAGAAGTCTTGAACAAGTGATCATTCCCAGAGTTAGGAATGACAGAGCAAAAGCTCTGTTTCATACTGTAGCTTGACCACCCTCACCACTTCAGTGGGACTCCAGAACCAAAGATTTTTGGGTGTGATCTGGATTATTCAGCTCTAAAGTAAAGCAGCTCTACTTGATTGTTTCTCCTTTTTATGGTGTTTCCAGCAGTTGTCATGAAGAATTTCAGATGCCGTAGTGTTAAAAGGTTGTGCTTTCCACTGAATGACTTTAGAATTTCATGTTGTCATAAGGAGGTTGTTAAACTGTCCTACCCTTTGACAGGTTTATTTTCTTGTGGTTCCTCTGAGTGTACGCACAGGTGCTGAAAAACAGCTAGCAGAGGATATTCTGATTTGTTAAGACATTAAATATGAATATTAAATAGAAACTTCATTAAATTTGAACCTTCAAAGCCTTATATATCTTCTTGCAGGCTGTTGTGCAAAATTTTCAGCACGAAGTAGTTTGTATATTCACTCCAAGAAACATCTTCAGGATGTGGACTCGTTGAAGTCGCGGTGCCCCGTTTCCAGCTGTAATAAACTGTTCACTTCCAAACACAGCATGAAAACGCACATGGTCAAGCAACATAACTTCAGCTCAGGTAAAGTGTTTGTCTGTGGCTATCACAGGGTGCAGTGGAAAAATTAAGTGCTTTATTAAGGAAAATGGGTAATTACTGATGTTGAAATCTGAGTTCCATTGATATGAATGACAGAATCTTCTCTGATACTGAAATTGGCTTCACGCTCTAAAATTCAGTGGGATCTCTGAGTATCAGAAAGTGATACTTGAGGATGACCTCTGAAATTGTGAGAAATTGCAGCATTTTTCAATGAAGCAGAGCTTGTTCTTTTCCGTGCCATGTGTAAAATACGAATAAGGACTAAAAGGATTTCTCTTTCCACCCCTTTCACTCCTCTACAATCTGTACTTAGCCATAGTGTTATTTTTTGGCAAGTGCTTTTATAAGCACACTTTTCAGTAAAAGAATGAACTTATTTTGGTAAGCTGCTTTTCCCTAAATTTGCTTTCAGGGGAGGTGGGCAATATTTTAGTAGGCTAACAATATAGAATTTTATAGAATTTTAGCTTCCTTTTCTTCCTGTTGTCTGTAGAAGCTCTCCTATAACCAAACCCTTCTCTTGCAGATCTCCTAACTCAGCTGGAAGCCACCTGCTCCCTCACCCCCAGCAGTGAGCTCACTAGTCCAGGGCAGAGTGATCTCAGCAACATGGACCTCGTCTCCCTGTTTTCCAACGTGTCCAGTAACAACTCTGGAATTGCAGCGGACATGGCACTGGTGAACTCTGGCATCGTCACCATCGACGTGGCCTCGGTGGGCTCCACGCTGGGGGGCAGCCTGCCTGTCAGTAGCAGCTCCCTGAGCCAGGCTGTGGATCCCTTGATCCTGGTGGCCAGCAGTGACATGCCCCAGAGCCTGGACAGTTCTCTCCTGCTGGGAACCAATGCAACGGTTCTGCAGCAAAGCACTTTAAATTTGGATGATGTTCAGACTGTCAATGCCGAAGCCTTGGGTTCGCTGGCGTCTCTGTCAGTGAGGAATTCCAGCCAGGATGTGCACGGGCTGACATGCAGCAATAATTTAACAATGGACACAGCCACTTTGACTCCTTCCAGCAGCCTGGGCAGCACCAACGTGCCTGAGTTACTGACACCAGTTAAAGCTGAACGGAATTTGCTCCCCAGCTCGGATGTGGTTGGTCAGCAGGAGGGCAGCAAAGTCGTGACACAGTTTGTGTTCTCCAACCCCCCAGGGAGTTACAGTGCACAGAAGGAAATGGATCTTGGTGCAGTGACTGGCAGCTCGTTTTTGGTATGGAGTAACTGTATTCACCCTTGGATGAGATAGCCTGACTCTGAGGGTATCCCTGGCTGCTCACACCTTACTGGGAGACCTCTCAGATTTTGTAGATCATGCATTTTGTCTCTCTTCTGATGAAAGATGTAAAATGATGTATTGAGTAGTGTGTTTTCACAGGTGGATTCAGTGTGGTGACAGGTTCTAAGAAATACTGAAATTCTGGTGGGGACAGTTCAGGAAGAACCTTTCAAATTAAGCAGCCGCCCATCTGAAAAGGAATTTGCAAGAACACCCAAGAATGTGTTACACGTGTTACTTGTTCATTTCATTCCAGGGAAGGATTTGGGCTGTAACAGTAACTGCAGCGTTTTCATTCCAGTCTGCATTCCTCTTTTAAGTACTTTTCCCTTTCTGTTTCACTGTGTTATTGCAGACGTAACTTTTTGTTTATATTATGAAGTACATGTTTACACTCTTAAAATCTGAGCACTTACAAATGTGGAGCTAACTTCTTCTTGTGTGGGGCTCCAGATATTGAGTAAATACAGGGAATTTATTGAAACTAATCAGAAGATCAGGGGAAACTAGAATTCAGTGTTTGCAGCATAGAAGATAAGTGCATCTGAGAAGTCATTAGTACGTGTTTTCATTATCTTGTTTTGTTCTTAATTCCAAAAACCTTGCATCTCTGGGCTTTTTTTTTCCCTTAAACTAGGAGAGCAGCGGGTCTGCGAGAACAGACTACAGAGCCATTCAGCTGGCCAAGAAAAAGAAACAAAAAGGGAATGGCAGCAGCACAGGTGAGAAGCCATTAGTTCTGTTACATTTACTGAATAAATATATTTAGTAATTTTGGCAGTGCAGTGGGAGCAGGTTTCTGAGTAACATTCTTAAATGTCCTGTCCTGTTTATTGATAGTTAAAATAATTATGCATGTGGTGTACAATCTGTTACTCAGGATAATCACATACTGTGGAATATCAGATTCACAGGAAGTTTACAAAGAAAGCTGTGCCATGTGTTTCATGATTATTAACAAGACACTAGCTGTCCATCTCTTCATCTGCTTCTTATTACAATTAAAAATTATGTTACTGTGCTTTCTGTTGTTTATGCTTTTGGTCTTATCTAGGGGGTTCTTTCACTCAGTACAGACAATGGAAATTTTACCTAGATTTTGCTTTTGTGTTTCACTTAGTAACTGTGAAGGAATTTATTTTTTGATTATCTAGATATACTCAAACATCTCTCTTATATTTTAGCCTTGTAGAGCGTTTTTGTGCAGGGTGAGTTTAGGTCATGATTCCAGATGTGCCCTCTTAGTTTGACTCAGAGCCATTTGATGTGAATAATAACCATTCCTTTGTCAGATGAAATGTGGTCCATGTGAGCCTGGACTTGCACAGGCTCAGGTGTTTGAGATGTGTTGGCCTTTGGGGCTGGGGTGGAATATTACAGATTTATGATACATCAGTATCATATATATAGAGTTTAGTGCTGCCTTACTGTGTCTTAGACCTTCCTCCTCTGAAAATCAAGGCAAAAGTTTTTGAGGCAAGACTAATTCTGTTTTGAGAACTGTTGTGTTTGTGTGTTTGTAAAATACATATGTGCATACATTCTGTCTGGTTCAGCAAATCATCCCATGGAAGGAGAAGTGCTTTATGAAGCTAGTTCTAAGGGGCCTTATATTATCAAACACATGCATGTATCATCAAACATGTCTTTTGGACATTAGTTTAAGAAATATGATTGCACTTTGCATGACTCCTAAGATAATCTCAGAAAATTCCTGTTCCTGTTCAAGACTCCCAATAGTCCACTTTTCACCAGCTGTTGCCTTCATGGTATGCTGTGCCTCTCAAAGAGGTCTAGAGAGTCTTGTATTTCTGATTGGTTTAACTAGATTGAGTGAATACTGTAGAGGGAAGTTCAGGGTTTAAATACAGGTTATACGAGCCCTTCATTTATTACAGATTTTTTTTTTAATCCAAACAAAAACCTGAGCTGACAGGACTGTATTCTTATATTCGTTTTGATTAGGGTTTTGGTTTTCAGCTTGTGATGCAGCAGCTGGTTCATCCTGCTTTAAACTGAAAAGAAGCTTAAGGTTGTGATAGTTGTACTTGTGTAGCCTGTTCTACGTAGTAGTCCTTGAAATCCTCCTGTAAATAATGATCTTCAGTATGCTTTTTTTACAGTTTAGAAAAATCACGTGCATGACTTCTCAGGAAATGAGTTACAGAGTGAAAGATAGAAAATGCAATCCTATTTCCTAATTCCTTTCTATAACACCACAAATTTGCTGATATTTCTGTGCTACCACAGGGGAGGGCCCTAAGCTTGCAGTTTGTGATGTTTCAATGGTGTTCAGGTAAAAAGGTGCTCAGTAGGCAGCTGGAGTTCAGCAGCTGAGTGCTCTCTGCCTTTGAGCAGTTGTCAGGTGGTGCTTAATTATATTGCACTGCTGTGGGCATTTGCTGTGTGCTATAAACAGCTGCAAAATGTTGAAAAATACGAGCAGAAAACTCTAGCAAATTTATCTAAATATTAAAATTGCTTTCTTTTAGGGGCATCTGGTTCTGGTCAGAGGAAAAACAAGGGTGGTAAAGTAAGCCCAACCAACTTTTCTTCCTCTACTCCTGGCAGTCGACTGGGTGGTAACATAGTTTTGCCAAATGGAGGGCTGACAATAAGGGACCCTGCCACAGGAGCCCAGTATGTGCAAATTCAGCTTCTCCAGGTAAGAGCTGAGGAAAAAAAAAAACATGCTAAGCTTCTCTGTTATCCAGACTTCCATTTATGGAAGAATTTGAATGTTTGTGAACTCAGGTCCTACTATTGCCTCTGGATGGATTCTTGAGGCCTGCAGTGTTCTTACATTGTTCTACCTTTTATTTATAAAGTAAATGAGCTGGACATGAAAATGTTCCTGCAAAAAGAAGTTTCAGCCTAAATTGTTATTTCTCTTATCTGTTGAAATAAAGCCTAGAATTTAAAAAATCCAGAGCCTCTTAATTGGTGGGGGCTGATTAGTGGTGCATGGCAGGTAATAGGTTTTGTGCCAGGTGTAGCTGTGTAGTATTCAGAGAAAGGATAAGTTCCTTCTCCTTCATCGCTAACAGCTCTGTTGTGGAGAGACCTATGGGCAGAGTTCTCCATTGATCTGTTTTTTGATGGATGTACACATTTGTAACTTTCATGTTAAGTATCACCTTCATGAAAACGTGAAACTTCTTGCATGTTTCTGTGTTAGATTTGTTGAAATAGGAACCCTTCCTTCCTCTGTAGATCTTGCCAGTGTTCCAGGTTGGTGAGGACGGGATAATAGGTTGTACACTGAGCTAGGTTCAGATTTAAGTTGTAGGGCCTTTCTAGTACAGTGCAGTGGCTTTATCAGATATTTTAGGGTTGTGAGACTGAGTGAAATTTGCCATATTGTGCTGAATTACCTGGGGGTTGTGTAACTTGATCATTTTTCTGCATTCTCAGGATGAGTCCCCAGGAGAGGGAGATCTTCCCTTTCAGCTGAGCTCTCAGTCTTCCTCCTCACATTCTCAGCTTACAGTGGATTTACCTGTTTACATACTTCAGGTACAGCATGTCAAGCCTCTGGGTTTTATTTCCTTGCTTGAATGTAAAGACAGTTTACTGTGAGCACTCTCATGTTCTGCCTGATGAAAATACCTTGTTTTCCATTGGGAGTTGAATTCCATTCACAAGGAATATTAAGCAGAGAGCTGCACTGCACAAAGTATTTTGTGTCTGTTACCAACCTTTGACACATCAGAAGTGGTTGGGTTGTTTTTTCCTCTGTTACTGAGTAATGAATAACTAAAACTTATTTTTTCTGAAATGCCCCACCCTTGTTTTCCTGATCCCATCCTGCAGATACTTGGTGGGTCAAGGAAAGGGACAAGAATTGGAATGTTACAGGCTACAGAAGTGTGGGGTGGGAAATGGGAAATAGAATCTTGAACTTAGATTTTGGAGTGGTGCCCTTGTGGGAGTGTTAAGTTTAGAAGCCTGCTTAGGGACCTCATTTTTTATAAACTCTGCAATGTACCTATTCCTGCCAAGTGGATTTCACCAGGACAGAAAATAAATCTTTTTTGTTGAGGAGGGGCACTTTCCTCAAAACCTATAAGTACAAGACAAGTAGGGAAAGCTTTGGGTTTCCTCTGAGCCATTCCAAGCATTCTCTGGTGTTGAATAAATGTCAAGATAATCTTGCTGATAAGCACTGAAACCATCTAGAGGTGAAAGTAGTTCATGCTGTCTGTTTGCTTTAACAGGAACCACACAATTCCACCGAAGATGATGCAGGTTCTGATAACTCTCAGTTCACTGGAAGCACAATAAATTTACAGGATCTGGAATGAGGATTATTAAGAGCAGTTACTTGAAAACAAATTGGGCAATCATGACAGAGTGAGATTACTGTGTGGGTCTTTTTCCAAGGAAAATATGAAAAATAGGAGAACTGAAGTATGGTTGCACTCTTTGTGATTTGCTTAAGACAGTTGCAGCTGAAAGATTTTTCTTTAAAAATCCCACTTGATGTGCCTGTGTAAGATACCCTGTCTGCCTGGTGGTTGAGAGGCTGAGGCAGACTGCTGTACAGTGTTGTTTCAGGGAGAAGTACTTTATTACACTTCAAACTGAGGTAATATTTACTGTTTTCACAGGAAAGCAAGTATTCTACAGCTAACAAATGCAAATTTATAATCCTGCCTGCGACAGTTAAAACTTTCCTTCCATTGGTCTCCTCCTGAAGCCAGTGGCATCAAGGAGATAAGAGCTAAATTTTGCAAGTGTTTTCCACACACAAAGAAAATGATTGTTTTGGCCCCTGTGTTTGGCAGAAAACCAGAACAAAGTGTCACATGTAACAAAATTAATGTTCTATGCCATGAAAATGAGATGCTCTAAAATCTTTGTTTTAGAAAGCTAGATTCTAAATGTTAACTTAGCTGTGAATCAGTTTGTAGCTCATGTTGAGTTTCTCCCTTTCCTTGCTCCTGCATCCCAAATACTTTGCTGAATTCTTCCAGCAAAACTTGAAAACTGCAATAGAACTGTACTCACTGTAAGTGATTTGCTAAGAGCCCAACAGCATCTGAGAGAGGTTTATTTTATCTTTGTGTTCCCTTTTTTGGGAGGAATGTTGACCGTCATGTAAATTTAAGCACCTTGATTTTTATCTCATCTATAAACAGCTGCCAAGTTACCTGTGAACTGGTCACTACTTTTTTATTTAGGGTTGTTTGGTGTTTTTGTTTTGTTATTGGAACACTGTTAACACGTGTTCTTTATTGCTGTCCCAGAGTGTCAGATGCACCTGGAGCTGGTTTACAAAATATGCAGTTGACAGAGTATTTTTTGGGGGGGAAAGAGTTGTTACCCAGGAAGATTTGCCCCTGAAAAACTGCAGTTTCTCTTGGGGGTGGGGGGAGAGGTTGTATGTACTCTACTTACCTGGATTGCAGACACCTAAATAAGTATAGGGTTGTATAGGGAAAAATAAACCACCTTTGGTTACGTTTTAAGGTAGTAATTTAATTGTTTCCTATGGTGATGTTCTGAATGCCTGTAAAAGTATGTATAGGAGTTTGATAAAAGACTGTTTGTACTTTTTTTTTTATTCTCAGTGAGGTGTGTGTATGCACGTATGTGTATTTTCTTTTTTTTTTTACAAAATAAGATATGTCACAGAGGAGAACGTTGTGGTCTTTTTAATCTTGCACATATTTATTTATTTTACAGTTATACTGATGTTAAATTCACATGAGGTCGTTCAGAAATGCTTTTACTTCCTGTGCCTTTTGAACTATGTATGTGTCCATATAAATGCTTTTTTGATTGCAGACTTGGGGAGGAAAACAAGCATACAGGTTACAGTGAACTTCAGCTCCTGATTTGTAGGCAGTATTATATCTCTGGTTGAACCAGCTTTATTTTTCTATCTTTAGCCTAACTGAGCATTGAGGTCTCTCTGTTCCTCTCACTCTGAGTTTACAGCTTACATCCAGGGAAAGTCTGAACCCTCTCAGGCTGGGTTTTCAAACCAGTTGGTAGCTGAGATCTGCTGGTGGCTGTGGCTGCAGCACAGAGTCCCCTCCTGAGAGGAGGAAGGATGAGGAGGAATTGTGCTGAGGGGTCACCGTGCTCTCCCTGGAAGCTGAGACACCTCGAGCTCCCAATGCCTGCATTATTCTGTTCTCAAGGACCATACCAGTTTGTAATCCATTAAAATGGCCAAGGAACACTCCATCTTTTTATGGGACTTGCAACCAAATCTTTCTACTTCTGAAAATGTACCTCACTCAGCTTTGTAAGTGAATGTAAAGTGCTAACCTCTTGAGGGCAGAAACTTGGATCACTTGGCTAGGGCTCCATTGCTGGCAATGGATACCTGAAGAACTGCTGGTGCAAAAGGGTTAATAAAGCTTTTTTTTTATGGTCACTTTGTCACTGGGTATTGTTCTTTGCATGGATGCATCTGACACAAAGCTAATTACTGGCAGCTTGATTTCTGCAGAGAGCTTGTGGTTTTCCTTCAGTTGTGTATTCTCCACTATAGTGGGGTAGAGTCTATAATGGCTTTTACAGTCCTTCAGAAGACCTGTGATTATCATAAATATCTATGAGGTACCTGCCTTGGCTGTGCCTTAACAAAGATTGTCACCTGGGACTGTCATAGATCTCACTGCTCAGGTTTGTACAGGTAGTGCTATTGGCATAAAAAACTGAATGAGAAAAGAATTGGTGCTTAGCAGGAGCTTGAGAAGCAAAATGAGAGATTTTTTTTATTTATTTTCTTAGGCAAAATACCAAAGGAGGGGGGAAAAGGGGTTGCAGACTTTCCCTGGAATCTTAGGGTAGGAGAAGGAAATTTCATGGGACAGTAAAGTTCAGCTGAGCAAAGACTGACAGATTGTAGAGCTAGAAAAGACTTCTAGAACAGCATCAGCCCTGTAAGCTGCGGTTAAAGCTGTGCCATCAGGAGAAATAATACAATTGTTCTTCCTTATCTATTTCCTTGGCTGTTCTTCCTGGCAGATGGGTTGGAAGGGAAGGCCACTTTCTTGTTCTGCAGAGGAGGAAGAGGCACTGCATCAGTGCTTGGTGTCTGAGCAGGCACTGGAGCTGCTCTGTGCTGCCAGCCTGGGAGGGGCTGTGCCCCTGCCCTGTGCCCCAGGCAGCTGCAGGGTGTCTGCTGAGTGAGCTTGCTCTATTGGGAGGTGAGTGTGAAGCACCTGAAGGCTGTGTGTGTGCTCCTGCTTCAGCTTCTGCAACTCACTGCTGCACCTACAACTGCTTTCTGACTAAAGCCTCATTAGTCCTGTGCCAGGAAGAGGATGGGAAGTTGGAAATCCAAATAAATTTTCTCTATTTTCTCTTGGCTAGAGGGGCAGGGATTCATGGCCCCTGTTCCCAAGTCACCTGTGCTGTCACTGTGACAGAACCAGGGTCTTCTCATGGCTGTGCTGACCTGGGGAAGGTGCAGCAGCAGCCATGGCAGGAGCTCTGCATGAGCCTCTCAAGGGGCCAGAGCTGAGTGTGGGAGGATATGGAACATGTCAGAAAATGTTGGTTTGATGTGGCTGAGCTGATCTAGGGCCTTGCTGCTGTCATCGGGAGTGTCCTGCTGCTGCCCAGTTCCTCATTTGCCAATTTTCATGCTTGGTTTAATACAACCAAGGGAATGAGTTGAAATGAGCTTACTGAGAACTGGCAGGTAGTGGAGGGAGTCTTGTGGCTGGGAGAAGGATGATGGAAGGACACTGAGCTGGAATCCTGTGCACTGTGGCTGACTTCTCAGCAGTGGCCTAAAGTTACATCACTCCTGCAAATTGGGTAAATCCTGCAAACTACACCTGGCTGCAGGTGCCGTCCCCACACAGCTGTGGAGGCCCCTTAAGAATACTTTTCCCTTAAACATTTGATATCCAGGTACCCCCAGCTTCTCCAAAGTGAGCTGTGAGGTGAGGTGTTTCCACAAACCCCTGCACTTACCTTATTTTCTTCAGGTACCTGTGATTTTTCCATATCCCTTTTCAATCCTTCATCCTGCTGATGCCTTGCTTGTTTCTGCTTTTCCTCTCTGAGCCTTTTGAAGAGAGGGAATAAAGGATGGGTTAAATGCAGCTTGCAGCTGCACCAGCTGTGCTTTTGGCACACAGCATCAACATCTAACACAACATTTACATCACACCTTCCATGCAACCACTGGAGCACAGGGGTTGGGGCACACCTGCTGCTGGAGCTGGTGGCTGTGAAAGGTAAGAGGGAAGTACTGCCTGCAGCTGGTCCTACTCTTTCTGGAGTGATGGGATGAAAATGAAGTGCTGGAACAGGAATGGGCTCAAGCTATGGAACACTGGTGCAGAGAAACTGCAGTCTTAACCATGTAAACTTGAGGAAAATGTTTAATGCTCTTAGTAGAGTTTGTTGTGTGTTGGTTTTGTTGGTGTTGTTTTTGTTTTGGTTGGTTTTTGGGGTGTTTTTTGTTTGTTTGGGGTTTTTTGGTTTTTTTTAATATTTTTATTTGGGGTTTAAAAATTATTTTTATTTAATTTTTATATTTATTCATATTTTATTTATATATATTTATATATTTTATATATAAAATCAAAGTTTTGTTTTTATTTTATATATGAAATAAAATATATTTATTTTATTTTGGGTATCTTTCCTTAATTATTCTCCTCCATCCCCAGCATAGAAGAAATGTTTTTCATACTTATTTTGCAATTTAAGAGTGCAAACCTATTCACAGAACATCAGGAAGAAGAACCATACCTTTTCTACTACACAGCTGAATAATAATGCAGAGAAAGAGAATAAGCAGAACCAAAATGTCACTGTCTGGCTTTAAATCCTCATGTTAATCTGTCTGATCCACTTGAGGATGGCCAGATGCAGTCACCAGTTCAGTTATCTTTGTTTTTTTGTGACGTGAAATTTTGTGTAACTGCGCCTATAAGAATGTGTCTCATCTTGGGACTTACACTGACTGTGTTTATTGCTACTATTTAATCTAGTAATACAAATTAAAATTAAAAGTTTTGTAGAAGAAACAATTCAAAGCTGGAGTTGTTGATAAATGCCCTTATGTACGTATTAAAATCTGACAAAATATCAGGGGAAGGTGGACTGAGGTTTAAAACTTGAGGTTTAATTTTCTATTTATTCAATTTAAATTTTGTTACTGAAATTGTTTTCTTAAAATTACGATTCTCAGAATCTGGTTTTGTTTGTGGGTTTAGTGTTTTCTTTTTTATTCTTCTAGACTTTTCTGCTGTAGTTTGCAGGCCTTTTCTAACGTAGCTGTGGGCTGCAGTTCACTGATGAAGACATGCAAGTACTGTGAATGTAGAACCCTTACAGAAGTAAAATTGGATGGATTGCTTTAATGGGATTTCAGATTGCTGCTACAGGTTTTTTCTGGGGGTTGATTTGGCTATTTCAGCTGTCAACAGTTAAAATAGAGATGTTTTCCAGAAGAAGGTCTTGCCTTACCTTGCCCTCTGTTCCCTTCTTATGTCTTTCACAGCCTTTTCTATCTTTGCTGCTGGGATTCTCTCCACACTGTCCAGTAAATCAATGAGCTGTTTTTCTATGACCTTTAACATCTCTACTGTTGGCAGGTTTGCCTCATTGTCTCCAGTGCACTGGAAATAAACTTCCTGCACCTTCTTGTTCAGGCTTATGAGCACTTTGTCCTGGAGGTGACAGGAGATATGGTGAGTGCCACAGCTGGGTTCTGCCAAGTGGAACCATAATATCCCTCCAAAACCAAAGGAAATCTGTGAGGGAAACACTTTCATCCCCTCAATAAGACCCATTTGCTTGTTTCCTGGCTGGCCAAGGGCAATGGCTGGGACAGATGGCTGAACTGAGCCATTGTCCTGTTGGTCTCATCCTCCCAGCTTGGCTGTGACCTGGGTCAGATGGCACTGCCCAGCTGTGTCTGGGAGCCTGCTCCCACCTGGAGCAGACAGGTTTGCCCCAGTTTGCTGCCTCAGCAGTGCCCCAAACCAGCCTTTCCATTGCTGGGAAACAGCTCTGATCCCTCCTCAGTGCCCCTCTGTGTGCTCTGTGTGCTCAGTGTGTTCTGTGCATGCCCCTGTGCGCTCAGTGTGCTCTGTGCACACCCCTGTGTGCTCAGTGTGCTCTGTGCACACCCCTGTGCGCTCTGTGTGCTCAGTGTGCTCTGTGCACACCCCTGTGTGCTGTGTGCTCTGTCCACGCCTCTGTGTGCTCAGTGTGCTCTGTGCACACCCCTGTATGCTCTGTGTACCCCTGTGTGCTCTGTGCACACCCCTGTGTGCTCAGTGTGCTCTGTGCACACCCCTGTGTGCTCTGCTCCCAGGATGGATGGGGCTGGGGGAGAGGAACCACTTGTGCACCTGTGAACCCCCCTTGCCTGGATCCCAGCCTGTACCTGGTCATCACCTTCGTGTTCTGCAGGGGAAAAGAGCTGAACTTTGAGCTTCAGCTCGGCTACTTTCTCCTCTTCCTTGGCCACGGAGGCTCGCAGGGTGCTCACCTGCTCTTTCAGCGCTGCCAGCTCCTTCTCCCTAGAGGGCAGAGAGAGGAGGTGTTTGGGAAGGGCAGCTCTGGAACACACGGCTCTGCTCTCCGCAGCCTGGGCTGGTCCCTCTGCTGCCGGCAGATGGAGGTAACACTTCAGCCTTTCCTGAAAACCCGGGGAACTTCGGGGGTTTTTAATGGAAAAGCAGTTACTGTGCTGGTGGTGGTGGGGGGGGGGGAGAAGTAGTACTACAGAACATTCAAGGTTTTGTAAATGTAAAAACTACACTTTAAATGGGAATATATACACCTATCTGTCATTGACACTTAGATTACAATGGCACATGATGGGTTCCCTACTGCTTTCCTCTAGGAAGGTTTTGCACTGAGTCAGCATTTGCACTGATGACTCCAGGAACTGCCTTATTTCTTTCTTTGGTCTTCCTTCATGAGAATGACACTGACTCCAGGATGCTCAGTGCATCATTCCCCACTGTGCCTTGAGGACTAAGGAATTAGTCCCAAGCTCAACTCTTACCTCCTAAATTAAGCATGTATGGGACACTTTCCTAGGAGCTCAAAGAAAGACCCTGCTGTGTGAGCAGCCTGATGTGTGTCTGACAGTGAGGTGTCTGTGGGGGCATTGGGGTCTCTTATGTCTGGAAGCTGGACCTTCCTTCACCTGCAGGGCCACACTCACATGCTTTCACGTGTGCTGATGAAAGTCTGCTGGACCTTGTTCCAGCTCTCTGCAATATCCTGGGAGTTCAGGACAAAGGATAAGTTCTCATCCAGCATCTCCATGAAAGTATTAAGCAATTGTTCAGGATCAGTGAAGTAGAGCTCGGGCTCCTAGAGAGGAAAACATGTGATGAGTCTTTTCCGTCCTCCAGGTTCTGTTCCACTGAACTGTGTGGAGGCTGGTCTGCACCAGCCCTGGCTATTCAAATATTCTTCCGTCTAGAGAGGTCCATGTTTGTTTGTACATGGACATCCTTCCTGCTATGTGTGTAGTTCTACTTTGCCTCAACAGCTCACCCCCAGAACAAATTGTATTTTGGGGAGTAAAAAGTATTGCAAACATCAGTGAGTGGGAAAACTTCAATTTCAGACATAAGCCAGTAACTGCACTAATTCAAAAATGTTTTATGATGTCATATCTCACTGGAGGATGGCAAGCTTAGAGATGATGGTAGGGTTTTGGAAACTGAAGGAGGAAAGTTAAACTAAGGTATTTATAATATGTACCACCAAAGTGAACATTCAGGAATGTATAAATGTACATTTATAATTTGTAACTACAGTAACTCCTCAAAACTGTAACTAATGGTTAGAAGGTGAGGGAAATTAGTAACATTGATAAGTGACACAGGACAAACTGAAAATGCAAATTTTTCAACTAAGACTTCTGACCTCATCTTCGTCCGAGCTGACTTCACTCTCTGCATCCTCCAGTGAACTTCTGAAAAAGCATTTTGTGTGTTAGGCCCTCAGAGCAATGACAGCTCAGAGGGATCTCATTAGTGACATAGGAACATTGCTATTGTTCACTGTCCCTGTTTACTCCTCTGCACGTTCCCACTGTGGGATATTGGGGGGTCTGTAGGGTGGGGGGGCCACACAAACAAGCAGCACAGGAGCTCCTTCTGTCCACAAGCAGCTGCCTTTAGTGCTGTCCTGGGCTGTGCTGGCCATGGGGCTGCCATGACACATGAACCTGAGCTGAGGTGCTGATCCAAATGCCTTTAAACTCACTGGGAGTGAGTGTAACTCACTCATTTGTTTAATGCTTCTCCCTCTGCATAAGAGCTGGAAGAGGGGGAAGTGATTCTTTGCTGCTAATGGCAGCTCAGTCTGCTCATCACTTCCACTTGTACCTGTGCCATGAAGGGTTAAAAACCTCTGTTTGCATTGTCTTGGTGACAGCCCCACTTGGGCAGGCTCTCAGCAGAGGATCTGAGGATGGAGCTCACTTGGAGCAGGCACACAGGACTGACTTGCACACCTGACAGCTTTCTGTGGTATGAGAGTTTGCTCCAGTGAGCCCCAGAACCTGGAATGCCCAGCCAGGGTGAGCAGTAGGATTCCCAGTGCTGGTTCCCAGTCAGCTGAGTGCTCTTTTCGATCCTTAATCCTTTGTTTGCATCATCTGGTACTTACAGGTCTCTTGACAGAAGAGGCTGCAGGAAGTGTTTAAGCTGTGGCCTGAGATCACGTGCCCTGAAATCCAAACTCTCTGAGAACAGCAGGGAGCTCGGAATATCCGTGAAAGTGACACTGTGGCCACTGGGACCCTGCTCTGGAGACAAGAGGAGGTGCCCACTTAGAGCCAGGGGCTGTCCCAGCAGCAGCAGCATCACTGTGCTGGCACTCACCCTGCTCTGTGCTGGAGGGAGGTGAAGCCCTTCCTTCATTCCTGGGTTCTGTTTCCTTATCCTTTTCCTTTTTGTGCCTTTTTCTGTGCTCCTCCTGCCACTCTTTTGGAGATAGCTGGTAGAGAATGTCCCTGTACATCTTGTACTCCTGCAGGGTGTCCTCAAATCTGGAGATGTCACTGGGGTGAGAGAAGTGGACAAAGTTTGTTAGCAGGGAGGGAAGGTTCTGTTTGAACAGGTTTTCTCACTCTTGATATTCAGTTTCATCCAAAGAAGGGGAGAGAGGGCACATTTTTTCATGGATATGCAAAGGCAAAAGGGAACCTGTGCTCTTTGTGGTTTCTCATGTGGAAACTGAGAATCAGTCATCTTCCCTGGTCATATCTCTTGCTATGGAACTGAGCGTGCTAATTTTTGAATTTTTACTTGGAAAGGAATGAGACATTTTTCCAGCTCAACTCACAATGGTAATTATACTCTTTTTTTTGTCTTTCCCTAGCTCCCTATTAAAATGCATTGCTTAGTTTTGTTTGGATTTTAAGCTGATGCTAGGCATTTAATTTTGGAGTTGAAATATCTATACTTAAAAAAAATATAATTAGAAAACTAGAACAGTTATTTTAGAAACAAAGCCAGCATCTGAAAAACAAAACCCAAAACATTTTGATCTTAAAATGGAACATTTTTAGAAATCTATCCCCTGCAAGGACTGTGAAGCTGTAGCACTGTAGGGGCTGATAAAGGTGAGGCAGGAGTAATGAGCAATCTTACCTTTGGATTTTCTTTATTTCAGTTGTGAGTCCCTGGATCTCTGTTATTTTCTTCGTCTTTGCTGAGGTTTCTCTTTTGGCTCTAGGAAAGGATGCACAGACAAGCCATTAAACAATTTAGCAGTGAGTAGTGAATTGAGGTGCCTATGAAACAGTGAAAAAGATGTGATATGAGCCCTACAAATCTGTGTTATAGATGTATATAGCATCTCCTGTATAAGAGATGCTTGGCTCTGCCTGAAGACCCTTTGTCCTTGGCAAAGCATTGCACCCCAGTGTTCAGGCCTCCCTCACTGGCTGCTGCTGAGTATCAGTTGCAGCTGTGCCCCTGTGATACCTGCAAAGGGCCAAAGTGCTCAATTTCCCTCACTGAGGGGCTGGGCAGAGGCATCTCCCTCCAGTAAAGGGTGTTGTGGGAAGAATGGAAGTGGTGGGGCCACCAGCAGGTTCCTTGCTGCCCCCAGAGCAAGGGCTTTTGCAGTGAGGGCATTCCCTAGATGTTGTTCTCCTTCCTCCCTTTTATTGAATGTGTGGGGAGAAAGCGCCACCAGAACTGTAACTCTGGGAAACTCAGAGTGTTCAGCCAAAACCCTGCAGGGAGGCCAAGCAGCAAATTCCTGTGCCCAGAATGAAACAGCACAATGGTGATTCCTTCAGTGCTCCTTACCTTCTCAGTGCTTCAACAGAGTTATTGTGGTTCTCCTTCAGGAAGGCATCAAACATGGCAGCGTCCTTCTCCATCCTTCTCTCAGCCTTTTCCAGCTTTCTTTCCTCATCCTTTGTTATGTTCTCCATCTTTTCAATCTCCCCTCTCTTTACTGCAATGGTGTGCTGAAATGAGCCCCAAAGGCAATACAGTCACATCAGCTGGGTGGTTTTGAAGGTACATTGGTTTAGCTTTCCAAAATTCCCTGAGAGTTGTGGGCAGAAAGGGAAAGGATTTCAAACTTAGGTGGGTGAGTTAGTGCAAGCCAGGTACATGGAGGCCAGGAGTTATTTCAGAAGGATGATATTGAATAAGCAGAGAATCTAAAAACAGAATTCAGAAGTCCCAGCACTGCATTAACTCCTGGCTGACAAAGATTGATTCAGTTGGGTTACAGCTCAATAAAAGACAGCTAATGGGAATGTTTGAGCATGGTTACTCCATTCCCTCACGTTGAGTTCAGAGTGGCTCCCAGCCACAGTTTATGTACTGTGTAACTGTGCATCTCACAAATGGGATGCTTCCATGGTGGCTACTGAATGATGGGAATGACCTACATTCCTTTATTTCTTGATGGGAATTTTTGGGCTACAGATTCTGAGTGGCTGTAAGGCAGGAGTTGGACAGCCAGTTCATGAGCTCTGATGTGTGCCACCTTGGAAAGATCTCCAGGCATTGATCTCAGGAGAATAAACATCAAAACAAAGCAACACAGGGAAGAGTAATTAAATGAACAAAGTAATGAGCTAAAAGCCATGTACCTCAAGAAAAAAGATCTGTTTTCTGTCCTGTAGGTAGCCATGGAAGGTCTCCCTGTCGAATTTATAATCTGAAATCAGAATATAAAGTTGCTTAGGCTAGAGAGGGGGAAATATGGCCAAGGCAAAACACAATGAATATGTAGGCTGCCATGAGCATGGATCTGGCTGGCACGGGAGTCAGCAATACTGATTATTGTATTATAGTTATAACCTTGCTTGGGATCAGTTTCATATGGATTTTCATAGAGTAAAACCAGGGAGAATGGAGTGGACAATCTGGTCCTTGCCCTTTAGGCATTAATGGCAAATCTACTCCTCATGTCAGAGGCATAAAATCTAGGCCTGTATCCATTAAAATCCAACTTTAGGTTGGCTTAGTAGAAAGGTTTCCACCACACAAGGTCCTGCAACCCCTCAGCTGGCTCCAGCTCCTCGCTCCATGGCTGGTGGAGCCCAGTGAGGGGTGGCCCAGGCTGTGAACTGGAGATGGCTCAGCCATGCAGGGGCTGGCAAACAGAACACAGAACTGTCTGCATGGCCTCCCCAGGGTCAGCCAGAGCCAGCTGCCCTGCCCATCCCCTCTCTGGCCTTAGCTCTGGGCTGTTACCCAGCTGAGCAGCCTCACTGCAAGGACAGCGCCTGTTCTCCACCTTTTTTCATGGCCAACTTCCGCGAAAGCATCTCCTGCAGGTATTTCAGTCTCTCTTCACTGGTCGCCTCTTTTCTGCTCTCCTCTTCTTCCTCCCTTTTCAAAGCTTTCCTCAACCCACTTTTTGCCTTCATTTTAGTGGAGTAAGTAGTTTTCTCATGGACTTTCATGGTCTTCCTCTTTTCACGTTCCTGTGAGAAGTCAGATATGTGACTGTTTGATCCTGTGCTTTGTTTGCTGTGGTTTTTAAAGACATGAGTAAGTTATTGACAGCCTGGAAACTTGCAGTGGTGATACCCTGCTGATGCATATTTGCCTAGTTTATCTGACTAATCCTAATAACATTCTCTCTTGAGGCAACTGAAACACTAAATTTCTTAGCACTTGTCATTATTCTGTTGATTTGTATTCTGCATCCATCCACCAGCTGTTTGTATCCTCTCAGTGTCCTCATTTTGCCTTCTTGGGTTATTTCTGTGGGCAAATGGAAATTTTCTGAGATTCATCCTTGGAGTCCCTTGGTTAAAGGGGGACAGCCAACATTTAACCAACTCAGTCCAGCTTCTACAAGGACATCTAAACCATTAAATTCAGATTGGGAAGATCTATTCAAACCCACTCCAGAACCTTCTGGAGGGTACAAGGTGTTTCTGCTCAGTGCTTTCACATGGACTGTGGTGTAATTCAGCGCTCTCTGCACAGTTTGGGCCTGGATTAGGGTGAGGACATCACTCAGCAGACATCCTTAGTGCAATGCTTCCTGAGCTCTTCCCCATAATTGTCCACTGCCCTTCAACCTAAGCAAAAACCAGACTGTGTCAGTCCCCAGTGTGAGGTGAGGAGGCCTTGCTTTAGACCTCCTGCTTCCTTTCACACTGTGCCAGGATGTGCATTAGTCAGACCTCCCAGAGATCACAGAATCCCAGAAACGTTTGGGCTGGAATCTTTGGGATCATTTAGCTCCAAATCCCTGCCATGAATGGGGGCACCCCACTAGATCAGGTTGCTCAAAGCCTCATCCAACCTGGCCTGGAACAGGGATGGGGCATCCCTAACATCCTTGAGCAACCTGTGCCAGTGTCACCACCCTCACAGTAAAGAATTCCTTCCTAATCTACATCTTTCTTCTCTTAGCTGAACCCTCTCCCCCTTGTTCTATCACAATCTGCTTGTGTAAAAAGTTGTTCTTTTTTTATAAGAACTTTTTGAGTATTGAAAGATCACAATCAGGTCTCCCTAGAGCATTCTTTTCTCCAGGCTGAACATGCCCAGCTTTCCCATGAAGAGGTCTTTGATCTCTCATGTGCTGAATTTTGGTATTCTGTTGGGTGGGTGCCTGCCTTAGTAATTGCTTATTATACAGTTTAGCCTAAAGCATGTGTACATACCTCCTGTGCCTTCTTAATTTCCTTGTCTCTCATTGAGAAAAGTTCAGCGTCTGTTGGGAGCTTAAATGGATTTTTCATTGGCTTTTTTTCATCCTCTTTTGTGCTTTCTGGGAAAAAAACAACACAAAAACCAAACCAAACAGAAAAAAACCCAGGATGAGGATGTAGAAGATGTGAAGCTGAATATCTGGACCCAGTGCAAAGGGAGTGGGATGTGCTGGGTCACACCTGGAGTGTGGGCAGATGCTGGATCAAGGGCAGGGAGCTGGATTGGGCTTCTGGGAAGGCAGTGACAAAACTGAGACCTCTGTATGGTTTATGTCACTTGGCCATATCTGATGATCAACAACAACATTTGAGACAGGAATTTTTCTGTCTGTAACTGTTTTATCCATTTCTTCCGTTTTAGGGCAGAACTCTGGACCTCTCCTCTGAGCTGACAAGGAAACATTGCTGGAGCATTGTATCCTTACCTGACACAAGGTGAGTTTCCATCTCAAGTTTGGAAGAGAGACTTTTAGTTGTTGATGCTGTATGTCAGGATGGTGTCTTTGACCCTGGCTCAAAGAAAATCATAAATCAGTCAGCTGGGATCTGCCAGTAATTGATGTGATAAGTTTTACAGCTGTGACAGGCCTAGGGGCTTTCTGTATCTTAACCACTGAGCCTTTAGTGTCTGTAGCAATTAACAAAAAGCTCCATTAATCTGGAAAACACATATGTTCTGACCTCCAGTTCATCCCAGCCTTGTGTGAAAGCTGTGTAAAACACAGTCCTCCTTACACATAAACTGATGGGAAAGCAACAACAAAACAAATTTGGTGGGTGCAGCTATTGATCATCTTCAGGTGAGCTCAAAGCAGAACTCTTCCTCCAACCCAACAACAAAACAAATTTGGAGACAGCAAGCAACCCAAGTCCCTTGTCTCTTTTCCCACCCAGTCACCAGTTCTGACCTACACCCATGCTTTTTCATCCTCCTGTCACTAGTTCACAAGCTACATTTTTACTCACTAAAGCTCTTCCCAGTAATTGCTTCAGCATTGTGGATTTCTTGCAATAAGCATGAATGATTGTTGGACAGCACAGACACACTTTGCAGAGCTCTATTGCCTTTCATTTTAGGTTGGCAAACTGTTGAAGGTTATTTTTTTGTTTCTCTGACTCTGGTTTTTTTGTAGTTTTTGCTATGGATCCTAAGGGACAAGCCAGAGTGGGAATGATCTCACTTACAAAGAACAGATAGAGCATTGTTAAAGCTATCCTTTAATCACCAAAGGCAGCAAGCTGGGCTTAGTGAGGTATTAGTTCAGTTGATGCAATTCTGCTGCTGGCACCATTCCTGACCTGCACTGCTCTGAGATGCTGTAGAAAATATCCTCTTCTGCTTGCACTAGTTTTAGGGCTATTTTAGAGCTTCAGTTTTTGGTCTGAAGAGCCTCCAGTTTTTATGTATTTTGAGCTAAACTCATCTGGCCTAATTTCCATGCCTGTCCTTGGTGCTTTGTGTGTTTTCTGCAGCTGCCCAATTAGTACTTTATTCTTTGGAGGTGTCAAACTTTCACTGCTGATGAGACACAGAGGTTGAGGTAGAATTTAGGCTTTTGAATATATCCCAAATATTTTCACTATCCTTTTTAGTTCTTGAAGTATATTTACCAAGAACCTCCTTGACTGTTACTAAAGAGTTCAAACCTCTCTGACCTTTGCTTAATTTAAGGGGATATTTTTCTCTAGGGTCTCTCATCTACGTCCTGGAACAGCATCAGCCCTGCTGCTGATGTGAGTTTTGGAGAAAGCCCCACCAAGGCAGGGGTGGGCAGGCAGTCAAATGCCAAAATACAGTTTGTGAACCTCACAGAGCAGCAAACACCTGGAGCTTCAGCCCTCAGTGCACACCTAGATATCTGCAATCTAAAGCCTTTATCACAAGAATTTTCTTTGTCCTGTGGTTAATTTAAATTCCTCCTACAGGTAATGAGTCTGAAAAGCAGGACTAGACAGTGGCATATGGAAAATAATTGTCAGTGCAACCCTCAGAGATAAAAAGTGCTTTATAATAAAATTTTATCTAAGTATAGGAAACTGTATCTATTATTAACTTACAAATATTCATTTTGTTAAAGTATTTTTTGTTTGAGGTTGCTGGGTTTTTTAACAGATTGTTTGCACAGCACTTGGGAAACAATGCCAGAAGGCACAGAAGCTCTAGCTCTGCTAATTCATAATTATTAAGGTCAATAATGCAAATTAAAAAAGCTTCGTTACTAGAATAATTGGGCATATATCTCACTGCCTCTGACATTGTATTTCAGGAGCTGCGTACCAGTAGCACGTGAATCAATAGATAAGGCATTGAGGGTTTTAATTCACTGAAATCTTTATTCAGTGCTTTTCCCTAGCATCATGCTGCCAAGCAAAAAAACCAACAAACCAAAAACAAAAACAACAACAAAAAACCACCCCAAAAACCCCCAAAAAACAAACGAACAAAACCAAACTCCCACAAAACAAAACAAAAAGCCAAAGTAACTATGCAGACAGATCTAAAAACTAGTGCAATAAACCCATTCATGTTCCCAGAGCAGAGGGTGTCACACATCCGTCCCTAGCAGATTCTCTGCACACTCTCCTTGCTCGCTCTTCTACAGTGTCTCACACAGAGGTGTCACCCAGTGGTGTCACCCAGGGGTGTCCCTGTCACCCTGGGGTGTCACCCATTGGTGTCCCTCTCACCCAGCACTGTCCCTGTCACCCAGCGGTGTCCCTGTCACCCAGAAGTGTCACCCAGGGGTATCTCTAACACCCAGCTGTGTTCCTCTCACCCAGGGCTGTCCCTCTCACCCACCGGTGTCACCCAGGGGTGTCCCTGTCACCCAGCGATGTCTCTCACACCCACCGGTGTCCCTCTCCCCCGGGGGTGTCCCTCGCACCCAGCGCTGTCCCTCTCACCCAGGGGTATCACCCAGGGCTGTCCCTCTCACGCAGGGCTGTCCGTCTCACCCAGGGCTGTCCCTCTCACCCAGCGGTGTCCCCCA